GCGCTGTGTTGGCTCCTCCCACTCTCTTTATTCCCTGGGGCTCCCACCTGTTAGCTTCTGTGCTAACATTGATCCCTGCAGAGGAGCCTGACACCTCGCCCGTCGTATTAGCATCAACACAACTGTTTGACTTGACAAAAAGAGGCGTGTTCTTGTTTTCTATTTGCTGTGGTCGTGGCGTCGCAGCGTCCACTTTGGTGTTTGAGTTCACAGAACTTCTACTGCGCAGTCGCTGAGGTTCCCATATGTTCGCAACGACCGCACGCTTTGACTGGAGCGAAATCTTCCCTCGAGACTTCTTTCCTCCCTGATGTTGATCCCATATGACAGAGTCCAGGTAAGCACTGTTAGCATTCCCATTAGCAGTGTTAGCATTCCCATTAGCACTGTTAGCATTCCCATTAGCAGTGTTAGCATTCCCATTAGCACTGTTAGCATTCCCATTAGCAGTGTTAGCGTTCCCATTAGCACTGTTAGCATTCCTATTAGCAGTGTTAGCGTTGCCATTAGCAGTGTTAGCGTTCCCATTAGCAGTGATAGCATTCCCATTAGCACTGTTAGCATTCCTATTAGCAGTGTTAGCATTCACATTAGCAGTGTTAGCGTTCCTATTAGCAGTGTTAGCGTTCACATTAGCACTGTTAGCGTTCCCATTAGCAGTGTTAGCGTTCACATTAGCACTGTTAGCGTTCCCATTAGCAGTGTTAGCGTTCACATTAGCAGTGTTAGCGTTCCTATTAGCAGTGTTAGCGTTCACATTAGCAGTGTTAGCGTTCCTATTAGCAGTGTTAGCATTCACATTAGCAGTGTTAGCGTTCCCATTAGCAGTGTTAGCGTTCACATTAGCAGTGTTAGCGTTCCTATTAGCAGTGTTAGCGTTCACATTAGCAGTGTTAGCATTCACATTAGCAGTGTTAGCGTTCCCATTAGCAGTGTTAGCATTCACATTAGCAGTGTTAGCGTTCCCATTAGCAGTGTTAGTTAGTGTGTCTGGTTGTTCAGATTTGTGGAAGTCCAAGTTGGAGTCTGGATTAACAGCGTATCTTTAGTATCATCACTTAGCTTTTGTCGTTGTTCTGACACGCTCCAGTCAATCTTTGAGTCCAGGTGAGCAGATTTTGGGATCCAGTTCTTTGCTGTTCCCCCAGACCAGAGTCTGTTTGAAATCCAGGTGAGCAGAATGTGACCTGTGGTGATCCCACATGTTGGTTTCCCACCCAGCAGCTGGATCCTGAAGTCCTCTGCAGGGGTTAGACGCTGGCGTCCTGTTCTGAAAATGCTCTGTTAGCATTAGTTGCTGACGCTGCCTGTCGATGGGGGGGCAGTGATGTAGGGCGGGCAGTGATGGTAGGGGGACAGTGATGGTAGGGGGACGGTGATGGTAGGGGGGGCGGTGATGGTAGGGGACGGTGATGGTAGGGGGGCGGTGTTGGAGGTGGTGAAGCCTCCGTCGAGTCCCGGCGACTGTCCACCAACTCCATGGAGGAGCCCAGCATGCCGGCCAGCTCGGGCGTGCCTCCACCAGCTCTAGAGAGTCCTTCACATGGGGCCTGAAGGGGGACAGCTCCTGCTGGTCTGGACCCGTCAGGAGCTGGACAGAGACGCCTGCTGGTAAACCGTCCTCAGGGATGGACTGAACGTTCAGCTGAGGGAAGAGGCGGCGGAACGACCGAGACGTGATCCGAAGTCGACCCAGGACATCGCAGAGGAGGAGCCAGTTCCGGGTCTGGAGGAGAGAGAAATAAAGACTCCATGATGTCACTGAGACTCCACCCACCCAACTGAGACTCCACCCCCTACACTGAGATTCCATGATGTCACTGAGACTCCACCCACCCAACTGAGACTCCACCCCCACATGGAGACTCCACCCACCCAACTGAGACTCCACCCCACACAGAGACTCCACCCCCTACACTGAGACTCCATGATGACACTGAGACTCCACCCCTACACTGAGACTCCACCCACCCCACTGAGACTCCACCCCCACACTGAGACTCCACCCACCCATAAGAGACCCCCCTACACTGAGACTCCACCCCACACTGTGACTCCACCCCTACATTGAGACTCCACCCCCCTACACTGAGACTCCACCCACCCATAAGAGACCCCCCTACACTGAGACTCCACCCCCCACACCAAGACTCCTCCCACCCACACCCTGAGTACCCCCCCGGAGGGGTCCATGTGACTCACCCCTGACTCTCCTCCACCTGGATGTTGTAGCAGGGGAGGAGCGGCCGGCGGACAGTTCAAACTCAAACACTCCCTCTTGACACGCTCGTCTTCGTCCTCGCCCTCCTCTTCATCGTCCCCTTCCTGATCCGGCCCTGGAGGGTCAGCGAGGACGTTGACCACTGGGCTCTTTGTAGACGGTTCTGTAGATCAACATGACAACAGGAAGCTGAATCACAAAGTGTCTCAGTTTGTTTCCTGTTGTGTGTTTGTGTGTAGACTAACCGCACACTGAGCTGCCGTAAAACTCCCAGTAGATCCCTGGATCGCCCTCCGACCGCCCCTGGAGGTCGGAGAGATAGTCTGCAGAGAGAGAGAGAAGTTATGTGATAAAAGAGCCGACCAATCAGAGAGCATGAAGGCAGCCAGAGCAAAACAAAGACGCACACACAAACACACACGCAGCAAGAGCAGAGAAGAAGAAGATGAGTGTTTGTGCTCAGACGGTGCCGGCTTGTCGCCGCGCCGCTCGGCACTGAGTAGACAAATGCTGGCAGGAGTGTGTGTGTGTGTGTGTGTGTGTGTGTGTGTGTGTGTGTGTGTGTGCGTGTGTCAGTAAGCTGTTCTGGGATTCAACGGCCAAGCCTCATTAAACCCCTCTGGAGAGAGAGAGAGGAAAAAAAGGAAAGATGGAGAGCTAGAACAAATACAGACACACACGCACGCACGCACACACACACACACACACACAGAGGAACACACGCACACACACACACACACACACACACACACACACACACACACACAGAGGAACACACGCACACACACACACACACACACACAGAGGAACAGGAACAGGAACACACACACACACACACACACACACACACACACACACACAGAGGAACACACACACAGAGGAACACACACACACAAACACACACACACACACACAAACACACACACACACAGCACACTGGTTCTGTAACACTGAGCGGTGACTGGCTCCTCCTACCCTCCAGGAACGTTTCCATGGTAGCGCTATGGGTCATGTTGAGGGGTCCTCGTCCGGAGTAAGAAGTGAGGGTGGGGTCGGCGCCGCAGGCCAACAGAAAACGGACAACCTCCACGTGGTCGTTCTCCACAGCGTCATGAAGCGTCTGAAACAGGAACCATAAACATCACTTTCAGTTGTGTACAGAGTTCAGTCGCCCGTATAAACGTGCGTTGGCTCGTACCTGGT